TTTGTACCTGTCCGTCTGAGTCAGGGATGTAATGTCAGGTACGCGGAGTCTGGCTGTGGAAGGGAACAGCCTGTGTTCACCTCTGACCCAAACTCGTGGTCCTGCCTCATTAACCTGAGGCCCAGGCACATTTGCCAGTGTCATCATCGTTTCCTTCCTGGGCTTCCCTGTCTCCATCTACTGCTTAAGATACAGCCTGGGACAGCATGTCTGTAGGGTGGGAGGGCGAGGGGGGCACAGTGGGGTAATGCCATCGCAGTACGATCGATCATTGCCAATCCTCCCATCTCTAGAGAGCATAAAAATGAAGCACTGTGAGGTTTCATACATTGCTCGGGTTCACACATTGTTTAAGCTTCAGAGGTCGAACTGCCGGGCATTCTTCCCTGAAATTGCTGGGTGACACTTTCCCGGGAGTCTGACATTTCTTCACATCTTGCTGATGGGCACACGCCCTCCCTTTTTTTGTCCTGACTGGCCTTTGAAGCGATGCTTAGAGAGAAATTAACCTTGAAAGACACAGGCTATCACCTTAATCTGAAATCAAGGGGAAATCTGGTTTTTGTCCAATGTAGTAGACATGTTTCCCCCTGAGACCAGGGGCAAGCCTGCTGACTGCCCACTAAGAGAGACTCAGGCTCCCCGAGCAATTAGGGCTCCATTCTTACTCTCTTGAAGCACAACCCTTTGAGTGTGCAGCTGTCTCCTACCCTAGTCAGGGAACTGGGGTTTGGGGATTTGGGACAAATGCTAGGACGCTGGCTGCTGCAATTGCTACAAGGCATGAAGTCATTTTCTATAACCCACAAGTCTCACAACCTTGGCTAGCAATCAAAACATACAGCAGGCTGACTTGGAAGCTTATGAGTTGGGTCAAGTTCAGATCTTTGAAAAGTTTTGGGCCAGAAAGAGCATCGTAGTGATCATCTATCATGAAAAGAGAAGAAATATTAAATATTTGGAGACCTGTTGCTTGATTTTTCAAATCTAGGATGATCCAGGGCGAAAGACGGGCATTCTACTTCAGTAAAGAGTTGCCATTTCTGAAACTCACGAGGCAGTTCCACCTTCTCCTATAGGGTCGCTGTGTGTCAGCCAGTCTCAAAGTCATTGAGTTTGTTTTTCAGTTTTGGATTTTTTTTAATTTTGAGAATTAGGTATTTTCTAGCTATGATCTATCATGTGCTTTCGTCTCCACATCAGACATGCACACACAGGTATGTGTCACATAGTGTCCGTGACACGCGCTGCGTGATGATATTTAGGTGTCCTGCAAACACCATCTGACAATCTGATGAAATCTCCCTTCTGGTCTTCCTCATTGCTGCTTCCGATAGCTACTGTGGAAGCGAGGAAGGAGAGGACAGAGCAGGCCCCCTGCGAACAGCAGGAGCAGGCCGAGCCCCACAGAGCCTGCCATGAACCTCCTGGATCCCATTATGAGATGCTGAGAAGCAGCTCCTACCTGCCTGCCTGCCACACCCAGGGCCATGTCTCTGCCTGACCCGCCTGTATTCTACAGCCCCAGGGTCTAATGCTGTAAGAGACTGGGTTTGGGCCTGTAAAACCATTGTGGGGGAAATACTATATACTCATGTCTAAGCCAAGGTTTTCAGCACATTTGGTATGTAGTTTTTGTGGTAAAATTAGATGCCTCGGCTGATATTCGGGTCAGCTTATACTCAAGTATATACGGTAGTAAACAAAAGCAGAACTACTTTCCCTTTACAAAAATCATATGGCGCTACTGCTGTATATTCAAGTATACATGTGATGGGAAGTTACCCAAATGAATTATATTTGTCTGTGAGTATGTACACACATTAGTATAAAAATCCACATTTTTCAGAAAAATGTTACCTTTATAGATTAAGAAATGCATAAATAAACTCCCTGTAGTTGACTCACATGGCAGAGATGAAATATTTGTATTCAAAATTTTTCCTTTTTTCCTACCTACAAATGAAGCACAGTCTAAAAGAGCAAGAGCCATTGGGCTTTAAGTGGAATGGCTGGAACGTATAGCGTTTTCTGGCTTCACACAAAAACATCACTGATCTACAAGTACCTTTTTAAAAACCTATCCAGCTAGTGTGTAGTTTCATTATCTTGCCATCTTAATAATTTGATTTATTTTTTTAGTGGCCAGTTGCTATCTCATCTATAGTCAGTATTCATAACAAATAAAATATTCTTAGTCCTATGACTACTGAGCTTATGTCATGTAATAGATATTCATAGCAGCAGCCTACTACAAAAGCTATTGTTTATAAAGCTTAAATCAGAATTCCTTTAAAGAGAGGTATTATTTTAAAGCTATATATTCAAGAAAATGATCTTCAGCTAGGAGGAAAAATAGTGTGACTGGAGAAATAATTCCATGGAAAAGCCTGTAGATTTTGTGAAACTAACTTTTTCGTTGGAGAGTTAAGTAGAAAAGGAAGGCACTACAGTTGGGAACAAATTTCATGTCTGCAACTGAGAGGTGTTCTTAAAAAAATCTTTAATGATTAAAGCGAAATATTTTTTAAAAGCTCTCTTAATTTTACTTATAAAATTATAAAATTTGCAACAACTTTCGGAGGAATTAAAATTTTGGGTCCTGTATTTCTGACTATAAAGAGGTTTTACTCCTGGGATTCCATCCTGCTAACCACGACACTAAAGAAATGCAATGTTCTAGCTCTGTCATTCTGAAGTGTGAATAGCAACTGAGAAAAACACTCTTTAAAACATGTAGCGTCTGCCCAAAACAGGAACACATTCTTTTTCAGATTGTTAATGAAACGATTTCTGGAAATTCATTAAAGTTGCATTAACAGAAACAATTGTTCTCTTGCATCTCACAAAAGCATCACTGAGCTATTTTTAAAAAAACCTATCCAGCTAGGGTTGCAATAAATAGATAGATGATAGATAGATAGATAGATAGATAGATAGATAGATAGATAGATAGA